CTCTTACTTTCAGGAATGCCAGATTAAGGCAGTTATGTATGCCGATGAAATTGAACAGTATGCAGATAAGCTTAAACTCATGAATACCTATATCATCTTTACCGCAAGAGTTAAAGTCTCGCCAACTTCATACGGCAAGACAATACAAATTTTTTACTGGGTTCTTGACAAAGAAACAATAATTGAACATATCAAACTATCTAACGAACTTGAGAAACCACTTCCACCACCAACCAAGCTGAATATCATAACCTTTGACCGCATTTCTCATATGATGGTTGATTCTGCTGCTGAAATTGGTATATCAATCCTAATAGCTATTATCATGCTAAAATATACATGTTTATTGATACACACATTTACAACATTTCATTATATTATGTATTATATATGCAGGTCGCAGTCATCATAAGTGCCGAGAAATTACCATTTGTGACAATCAGTAAGTATAACATTTCACCTTATATATTCCTATTTTATGAAAAAATAAATTGAATAAGTAAACACTTTTTCTATTTGTTTGATCGGATCATCAGTTATTGGCTGATCGTTATCATGGTACTTAGTCTTCTCTCCTCACGTTCTTAGGAAAAATCAGTTTTCCCTCACTCTATGGGAGGATTTTGGAGAAATAGAAGGAAATGAAATTGAAGCTAAAATGGCAACAGAGGCAGATCTGATTGTAATCCTTGGAAGGAGTATAGAAATCTCTACTTATCAAGGTACATATGTGCTGAACTTTTTACCAACATAATTTTAGATAATAACAAAACATTATACAAGCTATGTGTTATACAGGGTTGTCACTGCAGAGTAGGTTCAATTCCATAATACGTGTGGATCCTAATTACCTACAGACAGTAGAACTCATCAACTGGTACTCACATTTCGTCATTATTCTCTAGATTTAATTTGCATTTAAAAAACCTATTAAACATATTATCTGTTGTAACAATAGGGCAAAAGAAATCAAAACAATGTTGTTAAGTCGTGCATCAGAGAAAACCTCAACAAGCTCATCTACCTCTCCTATGGTAGTGACTCCTGCCGGCCGACAAGGTATCTCTATTATAGAAATTTCATCACCAGCTGCTGTAAATCATACTTCAAGCTGATCATTTGAGAGTGCTTATTAATTTTCTGATTGTCTAGCTTTGGCTAAATAATAAAAACAAATTATATTTATTCATGAGTAATTTAACACGTATTATGTATATGATATTTTTCAACAGATGGGACTCTTCTATGTTGAGGCAGAAATGGCCATATCAGATGAATTACAAGAATTTTGTGTGTTTGAATGCTTAGGATGCAAACAGAAGAAGCGCACAAAGGATAGGAAGGATTTTGAATGTCCAAAATGCAATCAGAAAACAACATTAGTGCCTGGCTACTATGCTTTTGACTTGTAAAATATAGTTTGTACATAATATAGCGTATATTATACACAAATTTTAAACTTGCCATGATTTCAAGTGTATCTTTCAAATTGATCTTATTGATGGTACTGCTACAACCACAACATCTATCTCTGGTGAATTGAGAGAAAAATTACTCTCCATGACGGCGGACGACATATTTGACATAACTTGCGCTAAGGTGATCTCTCATTCCCGCTGGCTACTTCTACACATCTATTGTCACAACACTATATATCTTGATCAGAAATAGTTTAGCATATATGATAGTTCTAAAGAGTTTCTTGTGACTCTTTACAATTATAGAGGCAATCAATCATTGTCTGTTAATCATGTCCATGAGATGTTGTCAAACAAAATATTTCAAATTTAGCTAAGGAAGTCATCTTGGGGCAGCTCAAATAACACACATGCAACTTTGTCCATTCTTTCCTACATGGAAAAGGAACATACTCCGTCGAGCACTACTGATAAGAATTTCAAAAAGATAAGGCCTTTGGAAATAAGTGAGGTGGAGGTGATGGAAACAACTACTGTAGCTGGTTCTTCAAATGCGACACCGAAATTTGAACCACCCACACCAATAAAAAAGGTGTAAAAGGTCAGTCTACATCTGACTTTCACATTTATTTTTGGAAACCAAACTATAAGTCACAATGATTTACAATTCAAAATATTTAGAAGTATTTGAAAAAGTTATGGTAAAAAAAACTAAGAGAGTTTTAAAAAGTAAAGGTAGAATCATTGAGGTATTAGAAAAATGTCATTGATAATGTGATCAGTAAGTTATGCAAGTTTTTTGAAATCAAGGAAGTATACTACTGGAAGAATTTACAACCCACTACATTTTTCTTTCTTCAAAGTTATATTTCATTTGAGATTTCAATTTTTTTTAATTGTGTTGGATTTTGATGACTCTGAGTTGGATTACTGATGTAATTAAATTTCTTTATAGGAAAGAAAGTATGGAGAATCAAGAATCTGAATTACATTATTTTAGTTATAACAATTGAGCAGCTTGATTACTTCAGAGTTAGGACCACCTCTTTGGGCAGTGATCTGTGAGTGTTTGTCAAGTTATTAAGCATTCAAATGTCTTTTATTTTTATGAAAATGAATTGTGAACTATTACCATACCAACAATTGAATACACTTATGGAGCATCTATAATCAAAAACATTGATTCCAAGAATGATAAACCTCAATTATACTAATTAAAAAGCTGATCACAGAGAGATTCATACCTAATGGGCATATAAATTTACCTTGAAAGTTTTGCTCATTGTGGGTGGAAGTTTTGCTTCTTCTTTTTTTGTTGTTTTAAGTGTTGTTCTTACTGAAATTTACATTTGCTCTTTTCCAGTTTCTGTACTAAGAATGTGTCAGTCTGGAGGATAAAGTTTCAAACTTTATCTTCCATTTTGAGAGATTCTAATATTTAAATTGTTTTTCTATGTGTGCCATATTTTCAGTTTCTGACAGACTTTAAACTGTCTAATTACAAGAACTCCCTCACTTGATTTTGTGACTTTTTCTTAATGAAGTTTTTGAATTCTCAGTCGGTTCAAGTTAACTTAACTTTTTGGGATGTCTTAGTTATTTAGCTTTTCAGGTAATGTTTTATCCCACATTTTTGTGTCATATGTCACTTTTCAAACATTTTCACTTCCATCATCAACCAACTGAACTTTGTGAATTCACTAACACTACACAAATTTCTCAGGAACCCTCAACAACTCCATATGCTATGGTTTTTTTAATGAAGAAGATTAGCTACTAAGAAGCAAACTCCGGCGTCCTCTACATATGATAAATAGTGACATGCTAATCTTATATATCAAAACTGAAACATCTGCTATATTATTTTACTTGTATTACATTAGTTAGTATTTGCAGATCGTTCAAGTCGGCATCATACTGATGTATGTTGTACATATTCTGAATATTTCTAATAGTATATAATATATGATACTATCCATCTTCTGCAAAATCAATCACCCTTGATTCATTAATATTAATATTTTTACAAGCATAATATTTTGACTATTGGGCCCGTGCTTGTCACGGGCCTCCCCCATCTAGTATATATATATATATATATATATACTAAAAGTGGGAAGAATGTTAGGCAAAAGTTAGATTACCATTTTGTCCCTATATCAAATACATATACTATTAATCATCTAATAAATTGGTAATTAGATATTAAATAGTAAATTTTAATTACTACAAGGGAGAGTTACATACTATGCCAATATAAAATTTATCAAATTCTTTCGGTTACAATTTATTACGGTGAATTAATATTAAATTATTATAACTAATTATTATCAAGAAGACGAAAAGACTCCTAATTATATTGTTCAATGAATTATAGGTGAAGAGCAAATGTTACATGATTAAGTAGGAAATTGATGAGCCTCTTTTATTTTTTTCTTTCATCTCCCGGCACCTAAAGTTTTTCTATTTAAAGTCACGTAGAAAGGGAAATGAATTTACAAATCTTATATCTGATCTTCTTACTAAAGTATATTAATGTCAATTCTCTCTTATTATAAATTAAGATCTATTTTTTTTTTATCTTTGGTGTATCATTTCTTTCTTCTTTTTTTATTTCCTTTCTGGTCATAGTCATAGATCGCAGAAGAAAAGTTGTCATCGATCTTTGTAGAACTGTTAAGGGCAATAACATCATTGTTGTATTTGGATCGAGGACGTTAATATTGATGGATTGATTGTAAAGAATGTTTGGAAGGAAATAATACTCTCTTTTTTTTATCATGTTGTATGAATTACAACAAAATAATGAATTATTTGTAGTATTTTATGTAAAGTGCTTATAGTGATGACCATTTGTAAGTGATTTTTGTATTAGTTTTAAATGTTCTTTTATAATGTATTCTTTTCTTATTCCTTTTTAGTTAAATATGTTCTCTGCTTATATAAAGAAATTTGTGTCTAGATTACAATTAAATAGATATTACTTATTGTATGTTGTATAATTGTTCATAGATAATACTTATTTAGATTTTATATAATTATTGTCGTGGAACATGTACAATATTATATTTCTTATATCCAAATGAAATAAAAAATTATCTCAATGAAAAATTAGATATTTTATTATATGTCATATCATTTGTGTTTTACATGGATAATATGAAATATTTGGCAGATATGTTGAATGACTATACATGCATTTATAATTAGTTAATTATCTCATGAATTAGTATATGTCCTCTTTAATTAATAATAAAGAGATCTAAAAGTATAAAGTTTATTATCAATGATCCACATAGAATCAAATAACTATTTTAATTTTCAAACAAACACTCCTACTCTAACAATTATCTGTGTAACACTAATTGCTAAAAATTCTTTCTATATCCACCGTCATTTATACTTTTTAGTGCAACATAAATCCTATAAATACTTAACATTTACAAGTCAAACATTATAATAAGATGTCGACGGACTTATGTGGAGCACGATTGTCATTTGCTATAAGTTTATAGTAATGGGTACACTTGACTACACGCGCGACGCGCATACCAATATATATATATAACAAAAAATTCACAACTAGCCGCAACCACCTCCACATCGACCACTACCTCCGCCATCACTATCACCACCACCACCACCTCCACAACAACAATCACCACCACCACCATCACCACCATCATCACCGCCACCATCATCACCACCGCAAAAACAATCTATCAGCATCTCTAGTAGTGTTGGTTCCGGTAGCTTTTCCACTACCACCCCCTTGTCCCTATCCCCATTACCAACCACTGTTGCTGCCGCTGCACCACCGGTGCCGGCAACTTCTCCGGCGCCGGCCAAAACAACCAAATTCCCGTCCTTCAATTCGCCGGCCCCACTACCTAGTTCGACATCGCCTCCTCGAGCTTTATCCTTTGCTTCTGCCGTTTGGCGCGGCATTTGCCGCACAAAATGATCAAAATGGGGAACAGAATAACGCCGATTATGGGCGCAATAATCGAGATTAAGTCCATGCTAAATATGCTTGCTTCAAAACTATTTTAATTAGAGGCTATTTATAGCAAGCCACCGACCAATTAAGATATATTATCCGTTGCAATTTGTTTGTCTGAATTTTATGACTTGACATCAAATTTAAGAAAATAAAGTAGACTTTTTAATGTTAAATTAAAGATATGTAGACTGTTTCAAAATATCTTTTAGTTTAAACTTGTGTGTACAAGTAAACATTTAAACTTGTATAAAGTTGAACAAATAGATAGACGCATCTTATATGACAACTTAAGTCATATGTGGCGTCCTACGTGTATTATGTACGTAATTATAGGGCATAAATGTGAAATAAAGGCAAATTAAAAGATATATTTATGTATTATGCCTTTTTTTAAAATAAGAAAAGCAAAAGTAAGATAAACCATATTTAGAGCCCGTTTGGATTGACTTAAAAAAAGTAACTTTTAAAAAGTAACTTTTTAAAGTGCTGGAACTTATTTTTAAAATAAGTAATTATGTGTTTGGATAAAAGTGCTGCAGTTGAAAAAAAAGTTGTTGATGTGTTTGGCAAATAAGTGTTGGTAAACACTTTTTTTTATCAAAATGTCTGAAATACCCTTTAAGCTGTTAACATGATAAAAAGTTGATTAATTTAAGGTTTTTATACTTTAAAAAAAAATTAAAACAAAATTAATTTATGTTTTACATCCATAAGTAATAATATTTTTCTATCATTCACATATTTCTTTACCACCTTATAAGAGGAATATAAATTCATATTTCAGAAATAATAATAATAATAATAATAATATAATAATAATAATAATAGTAATAGTAATAATAATAAAATAATAAAATAATAATAATAAAATAATAATAGTAATACTAATAATAATATAATAATAATAATAAACATAATAATAATAATAATAATAGTAATAGTAATAGTAATAATAATAATAATAATAATAATTATTATTATTATAATTATAATTATAACTATTATAATAATAATAATAATAGTAATAGTAATAGTAATAGTAATAGTAATAATAATAATAATAATATAATAGTAATAGTAATAATAATATTATAATAATAATACACATAATAATAGTAATATAATAATAATAATAATATAATAATAAAATAATAATAATAATAATATAATAATAATAATAATATTATAAATAGTAATATAATAATAATAATAATTATTATTATTATTATAATTATAATTATTATTATAATAATAATAATAATAGTAATAGTAATAGTAATAGTAATAGTAATAATAATAATAATAATAATAATAATAATAATAATAATAATAATAATAGTAATAGTAATAGTAATAATAATTATAATTATAATAATACACATAATAATAATAATATAATAATAATAAACATAATAATAATAATTTAATAATAATAATACACATAATAATAATAATAATAATAATAATAATAATTATAATAATAGTAGTAATAGTAATAGTAGTAATAATAATAATAATAATAATTCAATATGGGCAATTTGGAAATTGTATAAAAGAATTAAGGGCAAAAAAGTAATATACTTGGTCAACATAAAAGGGCTTTTAAGTTAAAAAAAAAAAAAAAGCTCCCCTCCCCTAGCTTTTAGCTTTTGGCTTAAAATAAGTCATTTTTGACTTAAAATAAGTCACTTTGATAATTGTCAAACACTCTAATAAATCAAAAACTGGCTTTTAAGCTAGTTTGACCAGCTTAAAAGCCCATTCAAACAGGCTCTTAGACGGGAGAGTATTATTTTTTCCTCTCTGACGAACTTCACAACCCATATGATTATTATTTTTATGTACTCAAGTTGTAATGTTTTTGTCTCTTCATAATCTTTAAAACAAATCACGAGCGCTTACTTTGGAGCTTTTCATTTTATATATTTTTAGTGCCTTTAGAAATCCACGAGTATCATGATATATTTGATAATATAAAGTATTATATCGGGCAATGTTTTCTTTTGATAAAGATAATAGTTAATGTCTTGATCTCCGTGAGATATTGAGATGCCAATTCAAAAAATTGTAGTATCTGTTTTTATAAGCATGTTTAGAATAGAATAGTCTCCTAACATATTTTAGGGTTTAAAAAACTTTGTATTTATATTAACATATTTATTGAATTAAAGAACATGTACAAACTATATTACTACTTGATTATTGTTTTTTTTATGTACTCAAGTTGTAATAAATCAAATCACCAGCGTTTTCTCAGAACTTTTCTTTTCATTTTTAGTTCTTGAATCCTAGCTCATATCTGACATGACAAATGTTTGACATGAGATAATTATTTTATTAATCTATGTACATAATTAAACATAGTATTACCAGTACTAGTTTTTTAATCTAGTACAATTTAAGTACCTTTCTTTCTAATTGGATTTACGTGTCAGCCAAACAATTAATATGAAGAACAAAATTAACATAATAAAAAGGGATTGCGTGCAGACAAACAAAAAGAACATCACTTGAATATAGCTATGGCGCAGGAATCAGGATACTTATATAGGAGATTTAATATCTTGCAGATTCTTGCTGATGTTAATAACATGTTTATTTTATTTTGAAAATTATTTAGTGTAATACCCACAACTTAAGACTAATATATATTTCCACAAAAAGTGCAAATTAATTAATATCACTACTAAGTATTCATTAAATTTATTGTCAAAAGCTTGTCTTTCTACATGCAAATCGGAATAAGATCTAAAATTAGCCTCAGATGCTGGAGAGCTATTGACCCATCTACTTTTCTACTTGACTAATTATTACCCAGGCATTGCTTACAGTTATAATATTAGGAAAAGTGATCAGCCAATTTTTATATGGACAAGTCAATATATGACCTCAAATTTATGATTTTAAAGTTAATCTTGATAACGTTTAACTTGTGTCTGAAGTTTTATATGGTAAAATTTAACTTGTGTCTGAAGTTTTATATGGTAAAATTTTAGACACTAATTAATGGTCAAACATTAGTATTTTTGCTTGATGACTGAAATTCAAGTGACACTCAAAAAACTTCAATTTTATTTTGTTGGCTAATTTTTTTCACTCTCTTTTTTAAAAGTTTTATTTCTACTTGAATATATATATATATTTCCTAGTTCAACCAGATAAACTAGGGAATTCACACGTCCACACGTTCCGTTCGTCATCGTTCAGCACCTTTTCCACATGATAAATAACTATATTTCAACCACATAATTAAAATGACAATTCACAAGTAAAATTTCATGAAAAATAACTTATAATAAGTTTAAATTACAATATACAAATATACAAGAGAAAATCAAGAAAGGAAGGAGGAAAAGGGTCTATAATGCACATTTATTAACAATTATAGTGAAGCTCATGCGGCTTTAATTGATATTTCATGGTGCTCTAAAAAAAAATATAACAACTAAACATTGTTATAGCTTGAGAGGCAAATAAAGTGACAGATGCTCTAGCAAATATGTCACTCAAATTCAAATTCCAAGATATTTTTTGCAAGAAGTTGATCTTCCAAAAGTGGCTAAAGGTTTTCTTAGGATGAATAAATTGGATTTTCCCACCTTTTGAAGAAGAACCAAGAAGACTAATACCTGACAATTTGATCCACCTTGAATACTTTTCTTTATATGCATTCACAGTTGTCGTTTAAATGCATTAGTATAGTTGTTTTGTAAAGATCTTGGGATCAGAATCTTAATTAATAGGATAGAATCTTTCTTGTCGTAAGATGTAAAAGGAGGTTGGTCTCTATGCCCCCTTAATTTGGTTGTTAAAATTATTTAAAATAAATTATATAAAAAGGTTTTCAATGCAGATATCAGACATTAAAAATTCTAAATAAAAAATTCACAAATGCAAATTAATTCAAATTAATCTCCACATTCATAATATCACAACCATCATCATCACCACAACAACAACGTTGGTAAGTACCACAACCACATGTGGATATATATCCGCCGCTGCATCACCGGCAACAGCAGCTCCTCTAGCGTCGACCAAAACAACTTGTTTTGATTGACTTGACCATGATTAGGAGTATCATGAATTGTTCTACTGAGCTCATATTAGGCCTAGTGGATGCTTGTAATACTAAAGATAATTTTGTTAATCTATGATTTAAGTACCTCATTTCATTCCAAGTCAACAGAAAAAATAGACAATTTAATCTTTTTGGTTTTTTAATCAAATTGATGTGGGCATATATTAGAAGATTATTTTGAAATTGATTGAGTACATGTACGAATAAGTACTATATGTTCCTACAAATTCTTTCAACGAAAAAAAAACATTCAATGAGTAGTTGTTGAGAGTCTGTTTGACCATGCTTTGAGAAGATTAAATCACTTTTTTGTAGCCAAATTTTCAGTTCTTCATCGTCTAACACCTTTTAGATGGGATAAATTCACAAATTATTATATTTTTCTTTTAAGTTTTGCTTCTATTTGGAATTATAGTTAGTAGATAATTGTATATGTTAAGTCATTGTGATTTCAACATCATTATTCACGATACCCCTTTTAAAGAAAATTAATCTCTTTCTATTCTGCTTATTCTGCTTCTCTATGCAGTATATATAGAGATAATATCTCAGATGATCACTCAACTTTGAATAGTTCACTTAGAAAGTCACTCAACTTTGTTTTTTAACTCAAAAAGTCACTCAACTATTGATGTTTCACTTAGAAAGTCACCCAACTATTTATATTTCACTTAGAAAGTCACTTAATTAATTTAAATAATCTTTTCATAAATTTAATGAAAAAATTATTTAAATTGATTGAGTGACTTTCTAAGTGAAATATAAATAGTTGGGTGACTTTCTAAGTGATACATCAATCGTTGAATGACTTTTGAGTTATAAAACAAAGTTGAATGACTTTCTAAGTAAACAACTTAAAGTTGAGTGACTTTCTAAGTAAACAACTCAAAGTTGAGTGACCATCTGAGATATTAACTCAGTATATATATACAGCACAAAAAGAGCAAAAATGGAAACACAAAACTAAAGAATATAAGTATAATAATTCTTAAATCCATACTAAATATATATGCTTCTCAACTGGTCGGGTACTACTTTAGAGGCTATTTATAGTTGCAACATGAGGAAGTTCGATCATATCGATCATAGGGTGATGCATGTGAGTTGAAGTTTTATGTGCGGATAATAATTTGCTCACTCTGATAGCATGTTAAAGTGTGTGACTATCTCATTAAAAGCTTAAGGTGTTAAAGAGAGCACATTTTTGTTATATAGTTAATGATATTATCAACAACAACATGTAGTAATAGTGTGTTGCTTTGTTACTCGTCCACACTAATAGTTGTATTAATGCTTCTGTAGTTTCTTGTCTTACGATTTTTGTTACTATATCTGGTGTTTCTTTTACTTCAATTATTATTATTATTTTTTGTAGTTACTGTTCAGAATGTTTTGCTATATGCTTTCACTTCCGTTTAGTTCTTTTTTCTCTGGATTGCTTTGGATTGTTATTCCTTCATTCGAGGGTCTATAAGAAATGTAGTTTGTCTACCTTTGCACTAGGGATAAAATTTGCATCGGTTATCCTTTTTTTTGTTGTAGTTATTGTTGAGAATGTTTTGTTATGCTTTTACTATCGTTTATTCTTTTTCCTTCTGTCGAGGGTCTATAAGAAATGTATAGTCAATAAAATCTGTGTATACTTTGCCTTATACTATGAACTCAAAGTTGTTATAAAATCAAATCACCAGAGCTCTGTCGGAACTTTACTTTTCGTTGTTTTAGTTGAAAACATACAAGCTCATATTTGACTAGGTAAAAGCTAATGAGATTAGTTTATTAATCTACATACTTGATCAAATATTAGTTTATTAATTTATAAATTTAAGTAGCTTTCTTACCAAATCGATTTGCGCGTTAGCCAAACAATTAATCTAGTTGGTGATGGAAGACTATACTCAAAGTTGTAATTAATCAAATCACCAGCGCTTTCTCGGAACTTTTCTATTCATTTTTTTTTAATTCCTGAATCCAAGCTCATATTTGACATGGCAAATGTTTGACATGAGATTATTAGTTTATTAATCTATCTACTTAAGCAAAATTTAGTTTATTAATCTACAATTACAATTTTAGTACCTTTCTTTCCAAATCGATTTGCATGTCAGCCAAACAAGCTTAAAAATAGAAAATGTAATCTTTATTTAATGCTACTGCTTGAATTTTTAAGTCAACATTATGGTTGACCTTCTTTTAGGGTTTAAATGAAGAACAAAATTAACATAATAAAAAGTGCAAACAAACTAATTAAGAAAACGTCACTTTAATATAGCAGGTACTTATATAAATTAAAATCTTGAGGATGTGAATAACATGTGTAATAGCCACAACTTTAGATTTTATATTGCCATAAAAAAATGTTTAAATCAATTAATATATATCACACTATATAAAAAATGATCCTTATCGATAATCAATTATCATTAAATATGTAGTTTTAAAGGCAATTAACACTCTTTTTAAATGTTCCATATATAAGCTTACAACGACATTAGATCTAATAGCAATTAACTAATGTCGATAAAAGTTTTAACTATCTTTATTACTCCCTTCGTCCCATTTTATGTGAGATAGTTTGACCCGGTACGGAGTTTAAGAAAGAGAGGAAGACTTTTAAATTTTGTGGTCCAAAATGAATGATAGAAATTTGTGTGGCTGTAAATCATTTCATTAAGGATAAAATAGATATTTTATAATTAAATTGTTACTTAATCTTAAAATGTGTCATTCTTTTTTGGACTGACTCAAAAGAAAAGTAAGTCACATAAATTAGAACAGAGAAAGTAATATGTATATTTATGACCGCTAAAAACTATTTTTGTTACGGTATCACTAGCTACTAGCTTGTTATTCAATCAATGCTTTAGCCGTGAGAGATCTATTTCCTAGTTCAACTAAGAATTTTACATCGTCCTACACCTTTTCCACATGATACTATTTATCTGCCACACAAATTAGATAATTTCATAAATAAAATTTCATCATAAATAGCATTAAAAACAAAAAACAAAAAAAAGGAAAAAACTATCATCCACATTAATTTATATTTTATAATATACAAATACAAAACATCGAGTTAAAAAAAATAATCAAAACTAGTAGTGTCAAAACTACAAATTAATTCAAATTAACCGCCACATCCACCACAACCACCGCAACCACCACAACCACCGCCATCACCACCATCACCACCGCAACAACAACCCTGGGACGACGACGTACCAGCATCTGTAGCAGTGGTTGCTGCAGCACCACTGTTGTTATTATTACCCTTGTCCCTATCACCGCTACCAACCACTGCCGCTGTCGCTGCACCACCGGCGACGGCCAAAACAACCAAATTCCCGTCTCGTAATCCGCCGGCCCCACCGCCTATTTCCACATCACTTGCTTGAGGTTTTTTCTTATTCTTCAGGCATTTGGCGCACAAAATGACCAAAGTGGGTATCAGAATAACGCAGAGTATGGGCACAAGAAGGAGTAACTCCATAGTGAAAATATGGTTGTAAACTATTTTAATTACACCCTATTTATAGCAAGTCAATATTGTTGCAGTAAATTTTAAGGATCAGACATATATCACTACCATATATATTAATTTTATCTTTATTTTCAAACAATTACATATATCACCATTTTAAATTTTTTTTTACCATATATTATTGAAGATACAATCATAATCATATTCCTTAAAACTAGGATTAATTAATTATTTTTACATTTAAACTCCAAAATTAGTGTTTTAATAAAAAAAACAAATATCTTTATGTCAAAGAGTATGAGTTAGGGTCAAACTCTAACTCTTCCTCTTCCCTTAATCAGTTGAAATTTACAGCGAAGAAACATGATGTTCTACGTATAGCTTGTCAACACACATATTAAATTCTTAGTCTTTGATTTTCCCACTCTCAAATTGAACCCCCACGAATCAACCATTTTTTCTCGCAAGGGGAGACACCTCTAGCGCGCTGAGACAATGTGTATCGTTGTAAGCAGAGATTTCAAGCCCAAAAGATTTATCAAACCGATTGAATACCTTTTATACTATGGATCAGCCAAGAAAGTTCGTGTCACTTCTCCCGTCGGATCTAGGCGCAGTGATCAACACCGATGAATCAAAAGGTGAAGCAAACAGTGTGCGGTGAGATGCCTGACCACCCATGAATGTTATCGAAGGATTTAAGCATGTATTTGACACATTATTAATGTATCTAATATATTATTGAGATACAATTATATGTGTCTAGCTTTTATCAGTGTATCTGATTGACTGTGTATGTATCTAATGAATGTACTGGAGATTTACGCATTATTGGAAATTTACGCATGTATTTGACACAATTTGTTCCTGTATGACTCTCATGTATCTAAGTGTTTAGTTTGTTGGATACATTGTATATTGGTAATAGATACATCAAATTAATGAATTTATTATTTTAAGAGTAATAAAATGAAACTAATCAAATTAAATGACCAAGATATACATGTTTTTGTCTTTTATTAATAATATTAATGAATTTATTATATAAAAGAATAATAAAATAAAATAAATTAAACATAGATACACTCTTTGATTTCCGCCTTATATTAAGAAATTTTATTAATTTAAATTTCTAAAATTAATTGTCCATGCATTTTAAAAATCCTCAATTACTCTTCTAATTAAGGAAATCCATTACAACCAATTAATTTAAGCAAATAAAATATGTATCTCGATTTTAAAATCCAGATACATGTATCTCGATTTTAAAATCCATCAGATACATGTATCTCGTGGATTCAAAGTCATGTATCCTAAGCACGAAATATGATAGAGGGAGTAATATTTGAAACTATCGGGAATCTTAGTAATTAGGACCTAAACTAGTGGGATTTATGTAGTTTCCCCAAAATTTAAAGTGATGAAAAATAATTGTTATCACAAATAAAATATGATGATATAGTGATTTTATGATCATCCCTTGATTATTTTTCTTTACATTGTTAATGGTATATTTCTCAAATATAAGATGATATTGACTTTCGTATGATATATTTGTAACTGCCCAGAACATTGAGCAACAAGGCTTTGAGAAAGATAAAATTTAATGTTTTGATCTCTTTGTGAATATCTAACACTTCGTGAGATATTCCACATGCCTTCCAATGGATAAGTGTCTTTTTTTTCATAGGCTTGAACTAGGTTTAGGATAGAATAGTCTGACTCGAAGAATTTCTGTGAATAAAGTATTTATTATTTAAAAATATTTATTGAATATTTACCAAGTACATCACTTGACAAGTTTATTTGTGTACTCAAAGTCGTAATAAATAAAATCACCAGCAATTTCTCGGAACTTTACTTCTCATTTTTTTAGTTCCTAATTCCCAACTCATATTTGACCTGGTAAATGCTAATGAGATTAGTTTATTAATAAATATACTTGATCAAGGATTAGCTTATTAATCTACAATTTTATAGTACCTTCATTTGCAAGTAGATTTGCTTGTCAGCCAAACAATTAATATAATTGGTGATTAATACCTGAATATTCTCTGTCTGAGTCATACAATATCCAGAGTAAAGGAAGACCTAATTAACAATTATCTTAATAAACTCAATGTAATCTTGATTTAATGTTATTGTTTGAATTTTTAAGTCAATAGTATGGTTGCCCAACTTCTTGGACATATAAATGAAGAACAAAATTGACTTAATCAAAAGGATTACGTTGTAGATAAACTAATTAAAATAACATCAATACCAACTAAATAAATTAAAATCTTGCAGATGTGAATAACACGTTTAATCTATTTGAAAATTTGTTAAGTGTTATAACTAAACCTTGTTAGTGCAATACTTCTTGGTGGGTTGGGCCATTGTTACACCTTGGACCAACAAACCAGTCCATTTTAAAAGGCGCAAATTAGACAAAATGTCAATTAAGTTAAACTTTTTAGGAAAAACTAGGAAGAAGACATAAATTCCTCCTTGAACTTGTTTCGAAAAGTCAATTACAACTTAAACTATCATGACGATCTATTACACCCTCAATCTTGTTTAAAGTGATATTAATACCCCTTCCGAAGACAATCTCTGTTTTTATGTGAAAATGTGTTATACAGGCATTTTGACATGTAAATAATATTATTTTAACTTTTTTAAACCTTTTTTCCTTAATATTTTATTAGACTATTGCAAAAAGTAAAAGCCTAGACTTTCCCCCTCCTCTCACCATACATTTCTTTCATCTTTCTTCTTCATTATTCATAAATTGAAGGGAAATCAAGAAATTTGAATAGAGAGCAGAAGACAATGAGAAGATTATGAAGTTTAGTGATGTTGGTGGTTGCGATAGGCGGTGGGCAACACCATTGTTGTCGGTGAAACAAATAAAAATTTTCAGATCTGTAAATAATGATCTTTTGAAATCTTGATAATTATGGATCAAAGTCAAGCATTTCATTAGTATTCTTTGTGTGTAAAGTCAAATGTGATATTGATGGCTTGAGACAAAAATAATATTGTGATGATGGTAGGTGGTGCTCCGACGAGAATAAAGAAGACAGAGATAGAAAATCATTTTCTTCGATGGATTTTTGAAAAATTTAGGCAATGTAATCATGAATTTTATGAATAAATGTCATAGGATTTTCAATAGAAGCCATTATCTTTCTCATAATTTTTTCCGGTGATCTTCTCCAGTGAATCCTCCGGCAAGTTTGTGTAAAAATTATGAACTTTAAGTAAAAATTATTAACTTTCCGGTGGAAATCAACATCTTCCCCACTATTTTTTGTTTCTTTTTTAGAGTTCCTTTCTAAGGTAGAGTGATCGATATGCTTATATGAGGATAAATTAAAGAAATCATCAGTGGTGACAAAGAATTGTTGAAGAAGAAGAACTCAATTTATTTTTAAAACAATGTAAAAGCTTTAAAGAAATTGGGGTCACTAATAAAAAGATAACAAAGAAAAAAATGACATAATTAATATATTAGAAATTATAGTACTTAATTATATAATGACCAATGAAATAGTGGCACGTGTTTAAATTTGTTATTTTAATATAAATTTTCTTCTTCTCACGTACCTTAAGGAAGGTGAAGACACTTTCTCTGCCATGTCACCTTCTAAGGGGGTATTAATATCACTTTAAATAAGATTAGGTGTGTAATAGGTCACCACAATAGTTTATGCGTGTAACGGACTTTTCGGGACAAGTTCAGGTGGAAATTTATGTCTTCACTACCATATATACTATTATTACCTATACTTTCAAAATATTACATATATTACCACTAATTAAGAGTTTTCTACCATATATATTGAGGAAAATACACTTTGATACATGTATTTTTGCTATCGGATTCATAAAAATAGGGAGAGAGGCAAACGAGATTCGTATGTATACCAGATACATGCGAATCACATTAGTTACACACTAGATACATCATACATGTATATGTATGTATTTGGGATACCAGATAAGTGGGAAATTGGCGAGTGAGATTTGTTATGTATCCAACAGATACATGCGATTCCACTTGAGTACAATATATTTAGAACAAATTACACATGATTTTGACCCCATTGTATCCCCAGTTACATGTATCTGAACGTATCATAATGTATATGAACAACCCTAAATCATGTAAAATACATAATATTGCAAAATAGATTGTATCTAATTAAGTAATAAGCTCCAAACTAGTGAAATTTATAGAAGTTCCCCCAATTATTTATACAAAAAATAGCTCACTTAAAAAAATAAGCCACTTATTACAATATAATAAGTGGTCATTTGACATTTTTAATTTATCTTTCAAAATTTGGCCAGTCTTCTTCTTCATCCTTATTCTTCGTCTTCTTATTCTAGTGCCGCCTTCTTTGTCTTCTTCATTTTCTTCTCTTCTTCTCTTCTTTTTTTATTCGAGGTAAAATAAACGTGAATTGTTTCAAGCGAATTATATATCAAAAGACTCAAAATATCGAGAGGATTTCATATCTAAAATGTGAGGGTTGCTTACTGTTTAGAGGTGATTTTGGGTTGATCGAGATTAAATAATCAGTGTATACTTCATGTATAGTTAAGTTATATTCAAAAAGTTATATTCAATTTTTTGAGTGTATCATAATGTATAGTCATTGTATAGCTCATGTATAAATAAACAATTGTATAGTCCGTGTATATTTTATATGGTTCTTAGCAATATATATCGTACCGTTAGTGTATACTTTCTATGACTTTTAACTATTTTTAAGTAAAAAAAAGCACGATTATATTTATTGTAAAATAAATATTTTATTATATATATATATATATATATATATATATATATATATATATATTTATATTTGAACTAGCTGTTTAAAGAACTAGACTTACTCAACTTTCAAAGGGTGTACGCAAGAATGGCCCCAAAAAGGATTGGTCTCGAACTTTTGGCCTCACTCAATTAACCACCACATCCACCACAACCCCGCAACCACCTCCACCGCAACCACCACCACCACCACCGCAACAACAGCCCTGGGATGTAGCGCCGGCCAAAACAACCAAATTCCCATCTTGTAATCCGCGCCCTCCACCGCCTTTTTCCTCATCGCTTGCTCGAGCTTTATCTTTATCATGCTGGTGTTTTCCGAAGTATATGGCGCACAAAAGGAACGAAATCTGTATCACAAAAAAGCTTAGTATAGGCACAATAATTATTAAGTCCATAATAACTATGCTTGACAACTACTTTAATTAGAGACTATTTATAGCAAGTCAGCTGTTCCCAACAAAATTTAAAATAATGAAAATTGACCACAATCACCAATAAAAAATAATAATTCCTAATAAGCATCTGAGTACAATTCTATTTATCTCTTGATTCTTCTGTTTTAATTTTGTACAATATAGACTTCATTTTATTGCCAAGAACGTCAAGCAACAATATTTGATGTTATGGGGTATTCGACATAAAGAAATATGTGTTCCTTTTTATAGGCTTAAGCTATTTTTAGGATAAAGTAGCCTTCGAAAAATTCAGTTGGATCTTAAAATTTGAATATCTTTGTATTTGTATTAAAGAAAATTATTGAATATGTAGAAAGTATATTAGTTGATTGACTTTTCTATGTACTCAAAGTTGTAATAATCACATCACCAACACTTTCTCGGAGCTTTTCTTTTCAATTTTTTTTCAGTTCCTAAATCGAGCTCATTTTTTACCTAGGAAATGCTAATCATGTGATAAGTTAATTAATCCATATAGTACTTGATTAAATAATAGTTTATTAATCAATTAAGCTAGTTGATGATGGAAGACTAAAAGTAGAATATATAATCTTTGAGTCATATATACAATCAGGAACGGATCTAGTGAAGGGTTCATTCTCGAATCCTCCTAGCAATATATAACTCTTTCATTGATATCCATCTGATACAATTCTTTTAAAAAGACAATATTTGATGTTTTGATCTCTTTGTATTCCAAAATTTTGTAGAATATTTGAAATTTCTTTTCAAAGATAATAGGTGCACTCTTGAGCTAAATTTAAAGTAGAGTAGCCTCTAAAAAAATCAAATACCGGAGCTTAAGGTTTGAAGAGTTTTATATTTGTATTAAAAATAATTCATTGAATATATACAAAGTATATGCTTGATTAGTTTTTTTGTGTACTCAAAGTCGTAATAAATCAAATCACCAGCATTTTCTCTTAACTTTTCTTTTCATTTTTTTAGTTCCTTAATCCTAGCTCATATTTGACTTGGGAAATACTAATGAGATTAGTTGACCTACTTAGATATAAATGAAGATCAAAATTGACATAATCAAAAGGATTACATGTAAATAAACTAAAAGGCATCGCATGAATATCAATTAAGTAAATTAAAATTTTGCAGATGTTAATAACACGTTTAAACTATTTGTGAAGTGTATAAGCTATAACTTTAAGACTAATTTTACCACAAATTCATATTTTTTTGGTGGGTTGGGCCTTTGTTACACCTTGGGGCTTGGGCCAACAAACCAGTCCATTTCAGAAGAACCAACCTTACTACAACTCTCAAAGGGTGTTCTTGGCCCCGAGAAGGATTGGTCTTGAACTTTTGGCCTCACTTAAAAATGTTGTAATGGGCCTAATTAGTCTTACCTATGATGTCGGAGTTCAAAACATATCAACAAGTCAGAGATAGTGAACCTATTCAATTGACAACAAGTTCTGTCTCACATGCAAAGGTTGCAGCAAGTGTTGCTCCATTCACAAGTCGATACAATTGAAATTCTTGTTCAATAAACAATATATTATATTATCTTCATGATCTATTGCTTCTTGAAATGTTCTGACCTCCTACCTCGCGGTCCCAAGTAAGAAGAGTAGCAATGCTGGATAAAGTCATAATTATAACTAGAACATATAACTAATGGACAATATAGGTTATTTTTCAAAGACTTTGCTAAACATAACCAAAAGTTCAAGACTGCTCCTTATGTTGTTCTATTTTTGCACTTCCAAGACAAAGGTATGAACATTTGATCAGCATGACATGCCTGAGAAACATGAATAAAAATGAGTGTTTTGGAATGCAATCAATGACAACTTGGCAAAACTTAGCCTAAGAGTCAAGTTATAACAACCTTACAAGTATTATCATACTAACACCTAAGTAATATATATACTCAAACTCAACACTAACAATAAACATCATCATAAAAACATCTTACTCAGTATAAGCTTTTAGCAAAGTAACAAAAACTTCCATTGCAATGGCAAATGTTCAAAATTTCAACTTCCCCTACTTCCCTCCATTCCCACCTCATAACTATCCATTTCCTCCACCAAGTGTGTCACCACCCCACCAACCTAATACACCTCCTTTCCCTCCGAAAGTGGCCCCACCACGCCCACCGGTTGCACCATCACCACCACGGCCACCAGTCACACCATCATCACCTCCAAAAGTGGCCCCACAACGTCCACCGGTTACACCATCGCCACCAAAAGTGGCCCCACCACATCCACCGGTTACACCATCGCCACCAAAAGTGACACCACCACGTCCACCGGTTACACCATCGCCACCAAAAGTGACACCACCACGTCCACCGGTTAGACCACCTGCACCTCCACGTCCACGTCCAAGTCCACCTGTTACACCATCACCACCACATCATTATCCTAGTCCACCACCTCGTCCTTTTTATCCTCCACCGCCACCACACGTTGTTCCAACTCCACCACCATCTCCACCAGGACATCATTCACATACCATCATTATTATATTCGTCTCGCTTGGTGGTCTGTTCTTTCTAGCATTTCTGTCAGTTGCTCTGTGCTGCTTCCTTAAGAAGAAAAAGAAGAAAGCCTCTCAGGAAATTGATATCGTGAAAGTGGATGAACACAGGAAAGTCCATGAAGATGTCATAACCCGTCCAGATGGAACAAAAGCTGTAATTCTGACAATTGATGAAGATATACATATAGATGAAGAAATCGTGAAAAGGGAGAAAATCGAGAAGGGTGCACTAGGACAATTGGGAGGCGAACATTGTGATGCTACAAACACACAGCATCAACTTCTAGTTCCAATAATCACAATCATGACCATAAAGGCTGATAAAATTTGCAAAAGACAATCTCCGTTCATATCGTTCTTTGTATCAATGACACAATAATAATCATCACATTATAAAAATGAGAGAAAAATGTAACAGGGACATTACAAAAAGAGTAAGCAGAACAAGTTAATCAATTTGATGTTTGTTAAATAACCAAAACATGACTTCTTCATATGTTTTTCTAACTCTAGTGAATGTTGATGTATTTCTAACCTTCATGTATGTAATGCAATGCAACCTTCGGTCCTTGTTATGAACTGCTTTAAATAACTATAATCTGGTTCCTCCATTCTATTCACCAACTCAGCTCAGACAGCTACTTCAGTATGAACCTAAAGTCACTCAGCAATTCAAATTAGAAAACAGATAAAGACACATAGAAATGGTGGGAACATGATAAAAAATGGATCTTTGGCCTAACTCAACTAAAAAGCTAACTCGCGAGGTGAGAGTTGTCCTAAGACCATATAAAGAAGCACATAATTCCCATTCCCACACATGTAGAAGTCAACAGAACAAAGAAGATCTTTGACAGTTTAGCAATTGGAATAACATGCTTCTACTCACTACCTTCCAATTTGTTCAGCCTACTTTGTTTTCTAGTCCGTTTTAACAAAGAATGATTTTTTACCTTTTAGCAACTCTTTAATTTCAACTTTCCACCTGACATGTTTAGCCCATTTAGTAAGAGAGTAAAAAGGCACAAAATTTATAGCAAGATGATTAAAACAAAGGATAGAAAAGGAATCAGCAAGTATTTGATTAGATAATCAACCAGATTTATGTGTCCTAGAAGCTCAGCACAGCCAAATTAGCAGCACCAGGAGTACAATCTGGTCACAAATCCATCATAAGTACCTGCTATATTTCATCATTTTCCTCTTCTATATCCATGTTCAAATAAATTAAACTCATTTTTTAGTTGGAGAAGCAAAAAAGATTGCTCCTTTTTACCATAAAGTTCAAAACAATCCCCTCACTCATTTACATAAGATTAGAACAGAGACAGAAGCAGAAATAAAAACTGTAGGATTAGAACACAACAAAGAAGAAGCAGAGCAGAATCCACCAGAAAGAAAGAAAAAAAATACCAAAATCTAAGTACAGCCTCAGCAGCCAGAGTCCATATCAAGATTGAAACCCTAATCCATCTGCTACATACTTATTTAAAGTGAAATGACCAAATTTGACCCCTAGACAAGCAACGACTAGTTTTTTTAGTTTCCACTCCCTACATGGAGCTCGATTAAATATGAATTTTTTTCAGAAAAGTCTCGTATTACCTAACAAAGAGGGCTTCATATTTAGTGAATCTCTGAATAAGAATAAAAAGGTGTTTACCACTCTATGACAATTTTTATTGGTTACCAACAGTGGAAGCAATTTCTTTAAAATACCCTAGCATTTTAACTTTTTACCTTGTTATATTTTGTAGCAAAAAAAACCTTAAAAGGTTATTTAGTATAGGGTATAACTATGCTAAGGTATAAAAGAAAAAGTATAGGGTATATTATTTGATATTTGATTTGAGATATTAGCTAATTTTAATATTATTTTATCTCATTTTTATTAAAATGGTACATTATTATCTTATATAAAAGTAAATAATCTTAAGTCTTAACCCATTAGATATGATTATTCCATTTCGCGTATGATATATAATTGTATTAATGATTATAATGGTATTTTAGACAGAAAAATGAGACATCGCGTAATTTTTTTAAAGAAAAAACATAATTAATGTATGCTTTAGATACTAGTTTATGGGCACACGATTTGCGCATAACCCATATTAATAAGTATATAATATAATATAATATTTTAAATAAAGTTATTAGATTATGTCTTGAATAATAAACTAAAGTTGAAAAGAAAAATTGTCTTATCCTATCTTCCTAAAAGATAACGCTTTTTAAATGGAACAACTTCGAACAAAATTCAAATTCAAATTATTATATAAATGCATTTAATCGTTATTTCGAATTTGTAGCTTTTCTTCTTCTTCTTCTTTTTTGGCATACTACGAAAACTGCTTATTTCATACATTCATGTATTCTTATAATACATATAATGACAATTTGCTTTAGCTTTTTGTTTTCGCAATATATAGAGCTTAAAATGCCTTTTTATATGATTTTTATCAACAATTACATTGAATTAGTGGTCAAATTCTTCAAATCAATGACCCACATAATATTTTAAAATAATGACTTTTTCTACTTGATATTGATTCAACATATATGAATAGTGATATAGTCTCTTCATTTGCTTGAAACGGTAAATTATTTAAATTCCATTTAAGTACTTTTAATTAGATTCTTAGTCTACAGGGTATTATAATAAGAGGTAATGAAAAGACTCATTGCATTTATTATATGATTTTTATTTCTTGTGGTTTGCTTTTATATATATTTTTTTTATACATTATCCATAAAAATAAAAGAGTAAATTTAATAAGTACAACATAAATTTCTATTTCAATTTTTCACTTATACTTAACTTTTACATTAAAAATAATTGTAAACTTTTTTTTTGCAAAAAAATGTAACTGATAAATTAAATGGCATCAAATAGATACAAATTGTAGATCTCTTTGTAATAATTACTGATAAATGAAAGTAATTCAAAAGAGTAAATAGGTTGATACTAATGACTTTGTAATAAGTGTTTGGTAGATTAAGAACTTATTTTATAATTTAGTTGATTCATTAAGTAATTTAAATTTTACTTATTAATATTTAATTAATTAAATATTTAATTTATTATAGGGAGAAAATGGTAATACTTTTGCATCTGTTAGTGTGACATTTTAATATTATTATATATCATATGTCATATTATGTATCATGTTATGTCCATTGGTGGACATTACATTTGTGCCTCGTTACTCTCATCAATTGTGTAAGAATGTGGTCATTAGTTGTTGTAACTCTTGTAACCATCAACTTTTCATTTTAACCATTATTTTACCTAATTATTCTTGTAACTTATGTAACCTTTGAGTCATTTATTTGCCCAATTTACTACCAATTATCTTCTTATTTATTGTAAAGAAGAAATACTGATGGTTTTACTTTGTGAAAAGAAGAAGAAAAAAGATACAAGAGAAATAATGTAAGAAAAAATGAGAAGTTTTTATTGAGTTAGTGTAGTGAAAGAGAGAGAGAATTGAGACAAAGAAAATATTCTAGGTCTTCAAATACAAAGAAGAGAGTAATTATATATGTTGAAGAAGGTGTTCTTATGTGGACCTTTAGACTCTTCAACTAATCTGGAGTTGCTTGAGTTGTACGACGTTGTTGTACTGTTGTATCCTGGACAGACAAGTCAAGAGTATTATTGTTGGATTGGTGTAGATTATGCCGCAGTGAGCTTGAATATCCTTTAAGAGAGCGAGATATCCGCGCCTCAGTCTAAAAAATTATTTATTCATTTTTGTTCATTTTATTTCAACTGTAATTTATTGTATTTTTGGTATATTACACCAACAATTTTTTTTCTATATACTAATAATTAATAACTTTGTAATTAGTGTTGGGTAGACCAAGAACTTACTGTGATAACGTTGTGTGCTTGGTAGAGCAAGAACTTACATCGATAACTTTGTAATTAGTGTTTGGTAGACCAAAAACTTACAGTAATAACTTTTTAATAAGTGTTTGGTAGACCAAAAATTTACGTTACGACTTTGTATAAGTGTTTGGTAGACCAAGAACTTACGGTTATGACTTTGTAACAAGTGCTTGGAAGACCAAAAACTTACCGTGATGACTTTATAAAAAGTGTTTAGTAGACCAAGAACTTACAGTGATAACTTTGTAATTAGTGCTTGGTAGACCAAGTACCTTCATCGATAACTTTGTAATTGGTGTTTGGTAGACCAAAAAACTTACATCGATAACGTTGTAATTAGTGTTTGGTAGACCAAACACTTACGGTTATGACTTTGCAATTTTGGTAGACCAAGAACTTACGGTTACGACTTTGTAATAAGTGTTTGGTAGACCAAAAACTTACGGTTATGACTTTGTAATAAGTGTTTGGTAGACCAAGAACTAACTGTGATGACTTTGTAATAAGTGCTTAGTAAACTAAGAGTCAGTTTGGATTGACTTAAAAGTTTCAAACATTTTTATAAGTCATTTTTAGCTTGGAAATGTTTGAAAAAGTTAAAAATAACTTAAAATAAGTTATAAATGACTTAAAAAAGTTAAAAGCATGTACTTCCCTACTTCTCACTTTTTAACTTAAAAGTTACTTAAGTTTGACTTTTTAAAAATTAGTACTTTTAAAAAACTTTTTTTTTAAGTTAAGTCAAACGGGCTCTATTACAATAATGACTTTGTAAATAGTTGATTCATTCATTAATTTAAATTTTACTTTTTAGTATTTAATTAATTAAATATTTGATTTATATAGAAATAAAATGATAATCAAACTTTGCATCTACACATATTATATATGATTCATGTTATATGATATATGATGATAGGATGTATCTTTATTTTAGGGAGCATTTTATCCCCAATGTGGGACTTTCCAGCGCAAGTCCGAATTTGATCGGACTCCAATGTGAATACCTGACACCGGGTGGAAAATAAAAAAAATAAAAAAAAGTACCTTTTTTTTAGGGAAAATTATCAATTAAGTCATAATACCTAACATAATTAGTCAAAACAACAACACTTTAAAATATTTATTTAAAATGTCAGAATGACAATATTTTTAGAAAATAATATGTATTCAGATTTTATTATTTAAAATTAATTTTATTATGAAAACAGTCCTATATTGGACCAAATTCTAAATCAATAACTGTTTTAAATGGAAAAAAAATTAAACCAATACCCATTAACCTTCCTTCTTCACCTTTTACGTTTCCAGATTCTCTTTCTTCAAGATGCTCACAAATTGTTCATCAAAATATATTTTTTAATTCAAGAAATTTTCTCGATTATTAAACGAAATCTCTTTATTAATTCAAGAGATTTCTCGATTGGCAAGGTAATTTCCATTATTTAGTTAGATTTATTTTGATTTGTTGTTTAAAATCACCGATTATGATGTATATTCCGGATTCTATATATTACGGATTTCCAGTCAATTTTTTTTATTTTTATGTGATTTTGTTTAGATATTCATCAAATATTTATGTATTTCAGATTTTTATTCTTTTAAACAATTTTTTCAATATTTTTTGTGATTTTCTTTTAATTTCTCAGATTTTATAGAATCTAGAAATTCATTTATATGTTTATTTTGTTTGATATTTAATACATATATTTTGATAATATCGAAATTTTCTTTTAGGGTTTTAGATTTTGGGGAAAGCATCTGACTGTCTACAATGACGGAATCAATCAGAAATTTATTGGTATTCATTTTTTCATTTGAAATACAAATCATACTGAAATACAACTTGATATTTGAAATACAAACTTAGTAAGACATATTTTGTATTTTATTTGGCTAAAGCAATATGATTTTGATGAATACATAATATATAAAATTGCGACGAATACATCACAAGAAGGGGAATACAAAATTATTGGTATTCATTCTGCGTTTGATATACAAAATGATATTGAAATACAACTTCATATTTGAAATAAAAACTGAGCTAGAAAATACTTTCTGCAAATTTAAAGTGAAATAATAATATAACAAAACTGGATATTGAAATATAAATACAATTTTTTTGAATACAACTTATTCTATGTATTATGTATTCATCGCAACTGTATTTTTCATTATCATTTCGATTTACAACTAATTTGTATTTATATTTTGGTATATACTTCACAACTCCCTTTATTTTTGTACTTGAACTAGTATGCAAAAGAGTTGTATTCATCATAAATCAATACCAATAATTTTTGTATTTTAAGTTTGTTATACATATCATTAGGTATTCGAATACATTTCGGATGAACACATATTCAAAGAAGTTCAAACATTTAAATATCCAAAACAGAGGGCATTAGAATTTTTCCCAACACTTCCATATCCTCATATGAGATATAAAATACGAACTACTGTTTTCAAAATAAAAAAATTGAAATTCTTAAGAACAAAGGAAAAAAATGCTAGAAGGAAAAATGACAACATATGCTCTTTCAAAAACATAATTGATGTTAAATTTTAATTTTTTTTTACCTTTTTTGAAATTTTCTGTTCCATGATTTTCTCTATTATGTTATTAATTATTTGTATTCTCTCAAATTAATCAAAATAAAACAAATACATAACTCAGCCCTTAACAAACTACAATATTGACATTTTAAATAAATAGTGAAACTATTGCTAAGGAGTCCCATTAAAAGCTAAAATATTGTTGTTTTGAAAATTTTCCCTTATTTTTAATGGTCTAAATAAATAATAGTATACTCTAGAAGATATTGTTGCTTAGGACGTGGGCACGTGGCATAACCAAGGCCTCTAGCATCATAACTTTGGATTGACTTATAACTTTACTACTCCCAAATTTTTCCAATAAATTCACGTGTTTCATTCTCTATATTTTGTAGCACACCAAAAAGAAAGAAATACTCACTAGTAAAGATGAATTCTTTGATGATCAAAGTGTGTTTTTTTCTGGTCCTTATTTCCAATGGTTATTCAACAAAATTGGATTCTTATCCTCCAACTTGTCAAAGAATTGAGTGCCCAAATTATGATGTGATTGAATCTGGAAAAGACTATGAAATTCGTCGTTACAATTCCCCTATGTGGATGTCTACTGAACCAATCGATGATATATCATTTGTTTCCGCCACCAGAACTGGTTTCCTCAGGTATTTTTTTTTTTTGACCTTAGGTCATTAGGCTACACTCTACTAGGTGCTCTTTGTCTTATAAAAAAAAGTCATAGTCAATTTAATGTGAAAAAGTGTTATTCATATTATATACTTTTTTTCGTGTGTCTTGTCGATTCATTTTTCATTTACACCTCTTAAAAACCCAACATTTGTTTGTCTAGGCAAAACACTTCATTTCCAATGTCTTGAGATTCATATGTCAGTAGACTTGTTTGGAATTGAAGCGTAGTTATCTTTTTATGTAAATGTTAAGTGTATCGATTTGGCATTGGCAGGTTATTTATGTATATTCAAGGAAAGAATGATAAGTATGAGAAAATAGAGATGACAGCACCAGTTATGACTCAAGTGAAGCCAAGTGATGGACCATTATGTTCTACTTCATTTGTTGTGAGCTTTAATGTACCAAAGAAGAATCAGCCAAATCCTCCTTCAGCTGAAGGCCTACACCCCCAAAAATGGAACGAAAGTAGTTATGCCGCGGTCAGGCAATTCAGTGGATTTGTAGTTGATGCTGATATTCCGAAAGAAGCTGCTGCCCTGAGTGCCAGCATTGCTGGCACTAAATGGGCAGCAGCCATCGAAAAAAGCCGGAGTAAAGATAATAGTACGCTTTATACAGTTGCACAATACAACTCCCCGTTTGAGTTCAGGGGCAGAGTTAATGAGATGTGGTTTACTTTTGTTATGGACAGTGCAATTGCCATTTGAGAGGCTATTGTTCAAGAATAAAGTTAATTACTATCTCATTTTCTTGTTTTGTATTATCAAAAGTATAGTTGAGAAGTCCTAGTTATTATGTATGACCAGAATGTTACATTATATATTGCAAATAAGATAGGTTGTATAATACAATCTGATTCTGAAAATTTGATGTTTATGATACCTCTGTGTGTTGTCAAGATCTTTAACCATAATTCAATTTAGCAATAGTTGAAGAGGGGTCTAACAATAAAATTGTCTCGGTATGACATAATCGGTCAAAGTTCAAGTCATGAAATGAGTCACTGATGCTTGTGTTAAGATAGACTGCTTACATTACAATTCCTCGAGATATGATCCATTTTAAGATCTTGTGTGAATGTGAGATGCTTTGTACACTAAATTGTGTTACGTGAACATGAGATGCTTCGTGCATTGGATTGCTCCTTTGCAACAATTTAGCAAGTTAAATGATATTTCATGTGAAAATATAAAAAAGGATGATTTAATTTACTACCTTAGTGAGTACTCCCTCCGTTTAAAAAAAAAATGACCTCCTTTCATTTTTAGTCTGTTTAAAAAAGAATGACCTCTTTCTTTTTCTTGGTAACATTTTAATTTCAGCTTTTCACGTGGCATGTTTAAGGCCACAAGATTAAAGGGCAATTTTGTACATTTGACATAACTTTAATTTAGGACCACAAGATTCAAAAGTCTTCTTTATTTTCTTAAATTTCGTACCAAGTCAAACTATGTCATTCTTTATGAAACGGACGGAGTATAATTTAGGAAAATTAATCAAGATGCTGAAATACAATGGACTTTTTCCTATATCTTTTTATTCTTTTTTGGTTTTGGGGAATAGGGAGGGTGGCAACTATGCACTATGCAGAGTATATTACAACTTTTTTTTTTCCACCGTGCATCGGAAACCTAACTAAATCCGAATCGCGTAAGCAAGGCCTATTTGAGGTGACGCTATCCTAAAAAACTAGCAACTACCCTTTTAAACAAATTTTTTCCTTAAGAGTCTTTAGCATTAAAATTTTATTAAACACTTATATTTTTTTAATTAAACACTTACCTCACTTATTTTATACTCTATTTATTTCAATTTGTCTGTCTTAGTTTTACTCGGCATGAATTTTAATTTTTTAAGAAAATGATTTTTGAACTGAAGTTGCAGTAATGTATCAAAATACTCTTTAAATTTTGTGATCTTAAATATCAGGCGTAAAAAGTTAGTAAGGCTGAATATAGAAAATGACATATTTTTTCAGGTAAGACAAACAAATTGAAATAGAGTCGGTAAATGGGGTGAACTAATAGCCGTTTATCCTTGATGCTTTGTCTGGACTCTGGATTTTTGAGATAATGTTTGCCTAGGACGTGGCATAACCAAGACCTGTAACAACCTTTAACGTTTGTATTCATTTTGATATTTTACTCCCAAAATTCATTGCGACAAATTAAAACAGCAAAAAGAAATAAAGATGCTTAGTGTTGGTATGAATTTGTTGATGATGAGGCTGTGTTTGTTTCTGTTCCTTGTTTCCAAATTATGCAATGGTTATTCAACAAAGTTGAATTTCTATCCTCCAACTTGTCAAAGAATTGAATGCCCAAATTATGATTTGATTGAATCTGGAAAAGACTATGAAATTCGCCGTTATAGTTCTCCCATGTGGATGTCTACTGCTCCCATTGATGATATTTCATATGTTTCCGCCACCAGAACTGGTTTCCTCAGGTATTCTCCCACTCATACTTGCTTGGATTGAAGCGTAGTTGTTGTTGTTAAATCTTTCTACTTATAAAATGTGGTTTGGCAGGTTATTTGATTACATTCAAGGGAAGAACAATTACCATGAGACAGTAAAGATGACAGCTCCAGTTATCATTCAAGTGAAGCCAAGTGATGGACCTTTTTGTGCTTCTTCATTTGTTGTGAGTTTTTATGTACCTAAGAAGAACCAGCCAAATCCTCCTCCAGCTGAAGGCCTTCATCTCCAAAAATGGGGCAAAACTTATGTCGCGGTCAGGCAATTCAGTGGATTTATAGCTGATGATGACCTTCCTAGAGAAGCCGCTGCGCTGAGTGCCAGTATTGCTGGCACTAAATGGGCAGCAGCCGTCGACAAAAGCCATGCTGCAGACAATACTACGTTGTATACAGTGGCGGGATACAACTCCCCATTTGAGTTCAAGAACAGAGTTAATGAGATATGGTTTACTTTTGATTTGGACAAAGCACTTGCCATTTGAGAGGCTCTTGGTTACTACTTATCAAAGGATAGTTGATAAGTCCCTAGTAATTTTGTATGACCAGAATGCTACATTATATATATTGCAAATAAGATAGATTGTATAATACAATCTGATTCTGAGATTTTGGTGGTTGAAACACCTCTGTGTTGTCAATATCTTTCAACATAATTCAATTTAGCAAGTTATAAAGGGGAGCCTTTGAGCAGCGGTAAATTTGTTCCTGTGACTTTACATTCCCTTAGGATGCAACCCTTAATCTTGCATGAACACGAGATACTTCATGAAAGGGGCAACTATGCAGATTATTTAACATACAGATTGTCAAGATATTTAGCCACAGTAAGCATATTTACAACTGCAAATTAACAAAAAGGACCACTTGTTCCATTGAACTAGCAAATGATTGATGTGCTTCCATTCAATAAAATATTGATTAGCAAAACAGAAGCACAGCTTGTACCTAGCTAATTCGACATATAATGATTTGGAATTTCAAGAAACTAGACATTATATGGATAGTAAGTTTGTTCATATCTAGGCTCACTACCATATTCTACATGTACATGGGTACTACTATCACTATGAAAACCTTCAGAATAAGGAACAGTAACCTGTCTCGGTATGCTTGCCCCAGCAGTTGAATCCAAAACAGAACCCTTACTTTCTGAAAAGAATCTTGTATGTGGTTTACTACTTGAAAACATACTACACGCGACTGTTCTGTTAGATGAATGATCTGATGCACATAAGCTGTTGATGATGGAAGAGAATGGATCAGCAGCGCTTGCATCCCCATAGTCAACAGTACTAAAAGAGTCTCTGGTACTCTCAGTAGTAAATGATGCTTCATCTGAGCTTGTAAAGAGGGACCAATCACTTGATGTAGCATCAGAAAACTCTGCAGTCATTGACTCAGTATAGGTTCCCACAACCGGCGGTCTATTTCTATTAGCGTTCTTGACGAGTCCACCAGAGGTGCAATCAATTATGTCACTGTTCATTTCCGGCCTATGATTCGTATAAGGATCCACACCAACATAAAGATGCTCCGCTTTTGTCTGCTCTGGCCTAGAAGTCTTTGTTGATTTTGGTGGGCAGTGCTTGACAATTCCAGGAACTTGTCTTCGGCTAATCTTTCTTGCTGGTCGTGGAGATGATCTACAAAATTTCATACGAATTCAATATTGAGATCTTATAAAATTTCTAACAAGTCATGAAACAAGCTTCTGAAGGGATGACAAATATGAATTGGCCAAATTGATATCTAGATTATAATTTCTAACATGCCTTTGGTAAAGGTCAAAGCTCTCTAGTGCTTTACCTCTTATAAAATAAGATATATGCTCCTTCCGACATCACCTGGCTCATGGATACAGGGTGTACCTAGTATCAGAACATGCAACTTATGAGAACAGTATGACGAGATACGAAAGCAAAAACAAGTAGAAGCACAATAAGTCATAGAATTCACCTTTGACGGTTGCCTACTAGCATTGTCGCCAAAGGTGTGAAATTCCTCAACAAGAAAGTGACTCAAAAGAAATTAGCAAGCAAAGTGAATCTTACCTTTGATCCTTACAAGCATGGTTCCCAAAAGTGCAGTCAAGGACCAAACTGCTGTATATGTACTAATTCACTTTTCCTTTTCTTTTTATGGCATAGGTGTACCAGAGCAGCTTGTGCATCTAAGACTATTTCACTCGATACCTGCTATCTCCCACCAGCACAGGTATCGGGTAACTCTGTCCACAAGACTTAGGCAGATGGGAACCCAAAATCGAACTTGAGACCTCATGGTTCTCCTCCCACTTTATTGACCATTAGGTCATACCAGCTTTACCATTATTGTATGGCTTACTTCAATAAACATTTAAATATGCACGGGAGGTTAAGCTGAGAGTCCAGAAACCATGTTTTGTAGCAAGGCAACTAAAATACATAATAAATGGATATCATGGGTTTCCTCATTACAATACAAGTGATTCAAGAATAAACAAAACAGACATTTACTATTGCTCAATCAGCATGTATACATTGTCCCTTGCTCTACTACCTTTATTATCAGTAAAAATAATTGATCAGATACATCTGAAAGTAGCACGTCTCTTGCTATCTTAGCTATATTTCTCATGGGGGAACTGGTCAAGAAACATGCAACTAACTCTTAGGATTTCTATTTTCCTAGCACAAGTTAGCATATCGTAACCATTAGGTCTTAAGGACATGACTCATATGAAGGAAAAAGAAACACTTCCAAGTAAAGAAAGTCATTAACCACATCCTGTTTCTAACTAATGTGAAGCATACAAGACATTCAGATATTTATTCCTGATGTATTCCACGGCTAGCAACCTCCTACTAGCTTTGGAACCACAACACTCCAACTTCATATCTTTCCCATATCCTTCTTTCTGGGCATAAGCATAATAAAAACAAACATTTAAGAAGCTCCATGCATCAAATTACCTCAGTATCATCAATCCTGAACCAATTGCCTCGTAGGTGTAGATCCTTCACGTAGGATATGTAATGCCCAGAAAATGATGCATTTAAGGTATCCAAGTGCACAACAACAGCATAAAGCATGTAAAGTGGAGGAATGTCATCTGTCCCGGTCATAAATGGGATCATATCCAACATATCCGGAAATGTGATGCACTTATTTATCTTCCCATAACTTCCTTCCTGATAATTATAGAAGTGAGGTTTAAACAACAGCAATGAATAGAAAATAATATTGAAGTCAGCAAAATATAGAATTTAAGGCCCTTAAGTGCCTAGAACTTAAAAAAGGGTAAATTATTTTCATGAGTGATTTTCAATAGCATGTCTTTCAGAATGAGACATGAAAAGTAGATTCAATACTGTGACTTTCGGGAATAAGATATAAATGGAATTT